AATGACTAATGATGTTGAACATTTTCTCATGTATTTATTTGCCATTTGTATTTGTTTATCTGAGAAGTGTGTATTCATCTCAGCTGCCCACTTTTAGATTGGGTCTTTGAATTTGGGGGCCTGATGTTTTGTAATTCTTGAGGTCCAGAATAGCAAAAGCAATCTTGGGCAACAAGGACAAGTCAGGTGGAATTACAATCCATGACCTGAAATTATACTACAAAGCTATTGTTTTTTTGTTTGTTTGTTTTTTGTTTTTTTTTTTTAGTTTTTTTCTCCGGTACCAGGAACTGAACTCACGACCTTGTGCTTGCCAGGCAGGCGCTTTGCCGCTGAGCTAAATCCCCAGCCCCACCTACAAAGCTATTGTAATAAAATCAACATGGTACTGGCTCAAAAACAGAGCAGAAGATCAATGGAACAGACTGGAAGACACAGACACAACCACAAACACACTCAGCCACCTATTCTTTGATAAAGGGGCCAAACAAACTTGCTGGAAGAATGACAGCCTCTTTAATAAATGGTGCTGGAAAATTTGGCTTGCTACCTGCCAAAGACTGAAAATAGAACCAAGTCTATCACCATGCACCAAACTAAAGTCAAAATGGATCACAGATCTAAATATTAAAACAGAAACATTAAATCTATTGGAAGAGAAAGTAGGTAAAAACCTTGAAGACATAGGGGTAGGCAAAGACTTCATGAACAAAAACCAAACTGCCCAGGAAACACTTCAAAGAATCAACAACTGGGATTTCATCCTACTGAACAGCTTCTGCACACCTAAAAAAAATCACCAGCAGAGTAAAAAGAAAACCCACAAATTGGGAAAAAAAATTAACTGTCCCTCAGGCAAAGGTCTTCTATCTAGAGCATTTAGTGCCTTTAAAGTGCTTGATTTAGAAGCTTTTCTCCCCACTCTGGATATCTGAGGAAGTCCTATATCATGTTATTCCTGAGTACACTGAGCACTGTTCTCCTTTCTTTAACAGTTGCTCAGATAGTTTAACCTTATTTTATTTTCCTAAAACAAAACAAAACAACTCATACTTTAAACAGTCATTCCGTCTGCCCTGCAGAGTTGAAAGATATGCATGCAGGTACACACACACACACACACACACACACACACACACACATCCACCCCTCTTGCCTTTCTTCTCTGTTGCCTCTCCAGCTGAAAGATCTATCAACAGATGTGGAAGTGCACACAGAACTGTACTTTTTTTCAGCACATGTGTCAGTGGTCAAACCGCATTACAACAGAGATATGTAAATTCCTCATCTTTTGCCCTGACTACTATTACCACATTTCCTTTCCATGTCACAGCTTTCTTTCTTTTTTTCTTTTTGAAATTACAATATTTGCATTCTCCAGCTGGTTCTGAAACCTGTTTGGATAATATGTCCTGGCAAAGAAAAGAATGCATCCTTTGTTCTATAGCTTCACAAACAAAATAGCTTTCAGCTGGTTGAAAATAGTTGAATCAGTAGGGAGTTGTGGTGCAGGGCAGAGGGTGGAATTTATGGAGTTCAAAGCCAGTACTCTTTTTTTTAAAAATTAAGTCTATTGGTACATTTTAGTACACATAATGATCACATTCATCATAGGGAATTTGTACCTGTGCATGATATAACTTAATTCCTCCTTTTTCCCTCTCCCCTCATTCACCTTTATCCCCTCCCCATCCACAAAAGTTTTGTTTCCATTTTTCCTTCTTTTCTCAACATTTTCTTTTCCCTTCCTTCCTTTCCTTCTTCCTCCTCCCTAGTTCCCTTTCTTATTTGAACATTTTTTTCCTGTTTCACAATAACTATTATATACTTTCGTCCTTACGTACACTTTTAGTTGCTCACACCAGAGAAACAATGTGGTGTTTACACATGTGAGTTTGATTTATTTCACTTAAGAGTATAGTCTCAAGGTGCATCCATGTACCTAGAAATATCTCAAGCTTATTTATGGCAGAGTAGTACTCCATTTTATTAAAATAAAACACATCTTCTTTATCCATTCATCGCTTGATGGGCATATGGGCTGTGTTCAAGATTTAGCTATTACAAACTGTGCTTCTATAAACATGGGTGTGCATATATTGCTATACTATGATGTTTTTAATTCTTTCAAGAAGATACAAGAAGGGGAATAGCTGGGTTGAATGGAACCTCTAGTCCTAGTTTTCTAAGCAATCTTCGCCCTGCTTTCCACAGTGGTTGCACCAGTCTGCACTCCCATCAATAGCGGAGAAGTGTTCCTTTCCCCACAGCCCCTCCAGCATTTGTTATTGGTTGATTTCTTGATAACAGCCATTCTTTCTGTGGTGAGATGGAATCTCAGCATTATTTTAATTTGCATTTCTCAAATGACCAATGATATGGAACATTTTTTCATATATTTATTTGTGGCTTCTACTTCTTCATATGAGAAGTGTATTTATTTCAGATGTCCATTTTTGGATTGGGTCTTTAAATTTGGAGAAGTCTGAATTTCTTGAGCTCTGTATATATTTTACATAGTAGTTCTTTGTCTGAGAAATAGCTGGCAAAATTTTCTTCCCACGCTATGGATTGTCTTTTTACTCTGTTGGTGGTTTTTCTTCCTGTGCAAAAGCTTTTTAATAAGATGAGGTCCCAGTTGTCGATTCTTTGTGATAATTTCTGTGCAATTAGGATTTTGTTCCTGAAGTCTATACCTGTACCAGTGTCTTCAAGAGTTCTACCTATTCTCTCTTCCAGCAGAGTTAGTGTTTCTCTTTTAGTACTTAGATCTTTGATCCATTTTGATTTTAGTTTAGTGCATGGTAATATATAGGGGTCTAGTTTTAATGTTTGGAATGTGGAAAGCCAGTTTTTAGCATTGTTTTTCAAAGAGGCTTTCTTCCAGTGAAGGTTTTGGCACCTTTGTGAAAGGTAAGGTGGCTAAGTATGTCTAGAGTTGTTTTTGCATCTTCTATTCTGTGCCACTGATCCCCAAGTCTGTGTTTTCTTTGTTTTTGTTTTTGTTTTT